AAAAAAATTGAAAAATGGAAGAAACTAAAAATCATTAAATATATTTGTTCAACAGATATATTTAATGGATTGTTAAGGAAAATGTTATTTTGAAAAAAAAATTTTCGTTAATTTTTTAGACTGCTTTTTAGAAATTATAAATAAATCTGTTTTCATTAATTTTCATTGAAGTAAACTGATATAATTTTATTACTAAAAATATAAATTTTTTCACAATAAAGTTTTAATATTAGTAAATCATAAGAAGACTACTGTAAATCTACCAACATATAACATTTAAGTTTAAAACTTATAAGTTTCATTTAAAGTTTCTTAATTGCAAATGTATTTCAGAATGTTCATTCGGATATCATGTTTTGATTTATTGCGAATGTTCACTCGTGATTTTCAAGATTTTCAATTCAAATATTAAAAAAGTTTTTTATCTCTTAAATTTCTTAAAATTTTAGGCAATTAATCATCGAATAAAACATCTAGAATATCAATAAATATTAGGATTCAGAATAGAAATAAAAAAATAAGAAGAAATTTTTAACAAGAAATTAGTATTTGTAAAACTCTGCCTTACTTTTCATTCTAAAAACCTATTATAGAAAGATCCAAATTTCAAACAGTTATTTGTGTTTACAAGTACAAATAGGCTTACAATATGTATAGAAAAATTTGTCTATAAGGTATAGATAACAATAACTTTATACTAAAGAGCATAGTTCATTTATTAAAATCTGTAATGAAAAGGCTAAAAATTTATTTATTTATCATAATATTAAATAAATAATCGTTTATAGTAAGAATAGTAATTTTAACCAGTAAAATAATTTTGGGTGGATCTAGTGCAAATTTGCTATTAAAAAATCAATATTTTGAATTAAAATAAAACTAATTTTGAATTAAATCAAAATATCTTAATTTCTTGGCTGTTTAAAATTTATGTATTTATTGAAAAAAAAGCCTAAAATATAAAACAAATGGTGAAAAACATTACTTTACAAAATCAATCATTCTCAATTAGAAAAAAAAACCATAAAAAATATTGTTGATTTGGGTGCATTATTATAAAAATGAAGCGAAAACAAAAAAATGTGATCAAAATGAAATAACATTGACTTGGCAAATCTAAATAAACACCCGATAAGTATTTAAAAACGAAAGAACCTTTAAACAAGGAATTAAATAGACTTAAAATAAAATTGAAAGTGAGCAATGAAAGTGAACTCAAAATATATCAATTTTCCTAAAAAATTTATATTAAAACACTCGCTTATTATAATTAACCTTAATTACAAATACGAATTTATTCTCTAATATAAGAGCTTATATGCAAGAGATAAAAAGTGGGACTAAGCCCTTATTTTTGCTTTTGAAACCACTACGAAAGCTTACTACGAACTTTTTAAAATCATAGGCTTGGAATACGTTACACTTTTCGAAAGAAAAAAAAAGAAGGAAGCTTGACCGAACCATAAGAGGATCAAAGCTTCTTCGAGTTTACATACAACATTCCTCAGAAGTGATCACTTTTTTGAAGTATTCAATTTTTAGTGACATCATCGGTTGGTGACATACAATTATTATATGAGTTCTTCTTTAGATAGTCAGATGAACAATGTCAGAATGGGCTGCCATATTCAGAGATGTGGTACAGGGTTATTCGTCCATTTACACCAAATAATACATTACAACTATAAGTAACTAAACATCATCAAAAATCAGCAGCAAACAAATAACATTTACTGAAAATAGAACAAAGCTTTTATAAAGCAAAAGCATGCATAATCGTCTTTGGCGGATTCAACACAAATTAATGAATTTTAATCTTGTATCATATCTTTTACCGACAGCCATGGGTTCAGGTTTAAATGTTAGCATCAAAGCATGAACTGTCTAAATTTGTGTTACTTCTTGAAAAAAAAAATTAGCGGACGATTAAAAAATGGCGGCAACCTGTGGTTGGCGTTTGATTCAAAATCGTTTGCATTTTGCGAGCAAATGTTAATTAGATGTTTATTCTTTTGAATGATTTTCGCCTATCAGCAATCTCCCCGTTTACATTTTAATAAGTTATAAAATTAAATTTAAAATTTAACACAAATTATTATTTGCCTTTTAAATTATGGATTATTTAAGAAACCCAAATAAACCTTGCAAACATAATCAATATTAGTCCGAATGTATACAAAATAGAATAAAGCATTTTATTCACCATTAAAATGTTACAAAAATACTTAGTTTATGGGATTGTGCGCTCAAAAACTTTCTATCTGTGCAATAATATGTTTGAATAAAATAAATCTTATCAAGACGGTTTGTGGCTATAACAGTTGCGTAAATTTTGAAATTTTTAATATGAATCTTAAAGGAAAAGTAAGTGTATACTTCTATTTTAAAGAAAAGACATCCAAATTCTTTAGATTCTTTAGAAAAAAGATATTATTATAATAGATTAATTTAAATATAGTGTTCGGTATTATGGACAAGGGGTATATTTACCTTTAGAATCGTATTTCTGATACTGTAAGCGTTTGAGAATAGAGAAAAAATTAACAAACATGTTTACGAAAATAATTTTTTTCCAAAATGATATTGAGAGCCTATTGGAGCCATTTAAAGAAGATCACACGGGAATGTAATTGATGTAACCATTCGTGACTTTTTTGTGATTCACATATTTAATTATCGCAAAAAACTGTTTCAAGTGATTGGTCTAACTTGTGTGAGTCAAAAAATACTCCTGCAACTTCAGTAAGTCGTGAAATGGCTTTCGAGAGGTTCAAGGAATCAAAGTGGTATTCTCAGTGACTCCAGTAAAGTATGGTACCAACTAACAAAAGTCATAATAAATAGTCAAGAAAACAATAAGAAAGTGTGATATCATAAAATAGAAAAATATCAAAGTCACATTATGACCTCATTGGGACAGTTTAAAACAGTCAAACCTGTGGCTGTGACCATTTTTGACGTTTTAATTACGTTACTGTGACAGTCTGCGCTATCTGGGTAGTAAATCATAAAACTGCTTCCATTGGCTTATACTTTTAAAAACTGTATTAATGTAAAGATATAAGGAAAATTATAAATATTTGTAAATTATAAATATTAGATTTTCAAAGATTTTTTATGATTTACTAATTATTAATAGACACGATAATTTTTGATGAACCTTCTGTATTGTACTTCATATTTTAAATTAGCTAAAAAAACCACCATGCTAAAATAAATATTTTTGGTAAGCTACAATAAATAAAATTTCAATTTTTGAAGCAACTGCTACAGTAAAAAGTAGTGAATCAATAAGATGAAAGTTAATAGAAACAAGTTATCAGACTAACAAGTGCTTCAATCATATGAAACGTAATTCCGGAGAGTCATGTACCGAATTATTGAGAACCTTGACTTTTGTCTGAGAGTCTATAGAAGAGAAATATGACAGAATGTTACTGCCTAAAATAAAATCTAATCCTTTTAAATAAATAAATACACTTTTTGAAACATAGAAAAATATATTTTCTTAAAAACACATTTTTTTCAATAGTTACAAGTTACATAAACAGTTATGGCAAATGCAAATTTATACTTTTCTAAATTTTTTTGCAAAACTGCAAAATTCCAGCAAATGTAACTCAGTTTTTTTTTTCAAATATCATTTTCGATTCCTTTCAGTTTGTCAACTATATGATGAAACATCAAGGAAAACAAGAAAAATAAATTTCGCTAAAAAGAGAACAACAATTACCTTTGTTTATTAAATAAAAGAATCTTTAAAAAAAAAAAAAAAAAAAAAAAAAAAAAAAAAAATTATTTTCCTGTCTCAGTAAAAGAAGAAAAAAGATAAATCTTCCCTTAAGCTCCCGAAAAATAGTGCGTAGTGTCACTGGTTCTTTGTTGAGCACTTAAAACAAGTGTTTTTTAAAAATATTATTTAACTTTTTCGATGAGCGTACAATTATAGTTTCCCTGTTCTTTTCTACATTTTCAAAAGTAAATAAAAGCTTTAATGTAAAATTTCTCAGAGTAAATAAATATCATTCGTTTCAGTTTGTCATCTATATGATTAAACTCCACGGGATAGAAATAGGGGATAGAGTTTCTCCAAAAAGAGAACTCTCAAATATTCAGTCAATCTGAATAGTCATTTTTTTCAGCCGAAGATGAGATAAAAACTTTTTATCACTTTGAGAAAGATCCCATGAAACAATACACAAAATAATTACCTCCCATTTGATTTGTCTCGTCTGGAAATAAATAAAATTTGAGATTCGCTGGAAGGGGAGAAAACCTTCTTCAAGTGAAAGCAGCTTCGTGGGCAACCAAATAAGCGAGTTTGTGCAAGTTGAGAAGTCTCCATGACTGCAGGATAATACCCCAATAAGTAATACTATCCATCTTGATATCTGTCGACTACAAAAACAGAAAGCTTCTTTTTGAGATTGGAATACCGGCGCCTGATAACAACATGATTAAGATGCCTTTGATGTACGACGACTTCACATCTGATTTAACTCTTCATTTCTTTCAGGCTATCTTTCTTAAAGACTTCCTTTATTTCTTTTTCTTATTGGTACAACTATTATAGAAAAAAAAGGTTAAAGAAAGTAGATTCGGGATTGTTCATTTGAATAATAGCGATGTTGTTGTTATTAAATTAAATTTCAAGTAACAAAAGCGTTCATTAAAATTCTTTTTTACTAAAAAAGTTTAATATTTAGTTTTTATATAAATATCTATTCATCATTTTTAATAGGAGAATTAATTACGGGCAAATAGCAATGATGGTTTCATAAGATATATTTTATCTTAAATCAATTGAAATACCTAGGTTCAATCGTAAATAATAATAATGATACAAAAACAGAAATTAGTAATAGGATGGCAAACGTTCGTTATTTCGGTCTGAGAAATCAAAGTTCTTATAAACAAAAATAAATTTTTATAATATCTGAATAAGATCTGTATTGCTTCACTTTTGAATAAATTTAATGAAAATAAATTATTTATTTCAGAAATACTTCTAGTCATCTTTGGATGTTTGGCGAATTCAATACTATTGAAGTGAGTACGAAATGCGGGTTTCTCTTAAAGCATATTTATTTCATGAACACAAACATCAATATAACATAAACTAAATTAAACATTATTGGTCGTCCTGCGACCAAGCTAGCTAGTGAAAAAGTTGAAAAGGTAAGTGGCTGTTCTTCCTCTGAAGGACAGAATATATATCACTAGGATCACAGGGTTGCTTTTACCTGAAGATCTTAAATCGCCAAGCTGGCGGTAAGACTGGTGAGAGTGGCGAGCACCGCACTATCATGAATTTTACAAAAAATTTAAACAACCAAACATTAATGAGGTTATTAAATCCAAAAAAATAGATGGTAGCATTTATAGAAAAAATGCTGCTGACCTTGTTATTAAACTGACCTTTAGTAAATTTTCTGGTACCCGAAGAAGGATGAGATCGAATACAAGATGTATTAATTCCGAGAAAAAGTTCTTAAAAATATGGCCATCAATTAATGGTTTGATAGAACCAGCTAGAAGATATAAAAATATTTTAGATTACTGTCGAATTAATCAGTTTGATCTTTTTTTCAAATAAATGACATGGGATCAGTTGTTGAAGAGACACTAACTGGTAGCCTCAAGTATTATTATCATTAATAGTAGCAACGTTAATTTAATTTAAAAACTGTCTATATTAACTCTTGTCATACAAGACTTTTTAATTCTCTATGCATCACATTTTCAATAGATAACTATGTAACATGGACAGTAAATGATACATAGCAGTTATAGAATTCATTTCATTTTGTTAATTATATTAACTTTCTTAGCATTTGAAATTTTCTTCTTTATGCAAAATTATCTCTAAGAATTAAAAATATAAGGAAAAATTAATCATATAATCATACTCAACACCCTTTTTAAATGATCAAATCATTAATTATTTGATAATAGGTTCCCAATCACCACCCACTTTGGTGAGCAAAAAGTTTTGCAATCGAAATTTTTTTTTTTTTTTAAATTTAATTTTAAATGCTGTTTAATGTTTTTAATATCGTACCCTTTTATCTTGCCATTAATTTATTGAGAATTCCAACTAACCAATGAATTTATAATTAAATATGAAAATAGACAATATGTTTTTGCATAAAATGGAATCCAATGTAAGAATTTTAATTAAATAATCAGTTAAATACCATTGCTTTAAAACTAGTAAAACTTCTGTACATATAAATATTTTATAGAGGTCTGGAAAATAAGTTATTTACGGGTTATTATGAGAAAATTGGAACAAATCGTGACTGTGTTGTCTAGTACATCTAGTTCTCTGAGTCAAGTCAGAGCTAACTGTAATAAATCCGAAAGTGAAAATAAAATAGAAAAGTTTATCGAAAAAAAATTCAGGGAAGTTGGTTGAGCAAATTTAATTAGGATGTCATTTTAGCTTAGAGTGCCAAAAAGATTTCATAATTATTTTTATTATCTTAAAATAATTAAAAGTTATGAGTAGTTCGAATCCATAGGCTGCCCATATTTTACTCATAATTTTTCGGTGTAATGGGAATTAATTTAATGGGGCAAAAAATCCAGATTTATGAGTCGTCACTATTAAGGGTGCATTAACTATTATACCACGAAAGGTGTTCAATTATAAACTATTGATACTTTTGTTTATAATGCAGCAAAATTCCTTCATGTACAGTGCGCCAAAAAAGAAATAGACCACCATGAATAACTTTTGATCCAATGATCGGATTTTCACGTTCTAGGACTCTATCTTATTGGTTCGAGGGGAGACCTCAAATATGCTGACTAATAAATACTGACGATATTTCAAGTTACTAAATTAGACACAAAAACGTGCTTTCTCTGAATAAACATACCTTTTTTTAACGGATTCAGATTTCTGATTCACAAAATATAGGGGATAAGCCGCAATTTGGGAATTATGGTCTGAATAGTTAGGTCAGGAGAGCGCTCCAAAGTTTGAACCCCTAAATGTTAATTTTATTTTTTGTGTATTTCACTATATCTCGAGTACTTTTTTAGTGACTTGAAATTTTTTTACACTCAATTTATAAAATTCGTTTATCCAAAGATAATTCCACGGAAAAATAACCTTTAGTAAGCATTCAATTATTTTTTAATATTTTATATAAGAATGGTCGTAAATTTTTTAAATTTTATGGTATACAATTCTTTGTGGTATACAATTCTTTGCATCATTTTAAAGATTGTAATTTATATGGCAAAACACGAAGTTTTAGCCAAATCGGCTGAACAGTTCCTGAGAAATCAAATTTTGAGTATCTGATTTCTTTGAAATTCAATTTCTCAGAAACTATTCGATCGATTTCGCATAAATTTTGTATTTTGCCATGTAAAATTATAATGTTCAAAATGATCCAAAAAAATTTTATACTTTAAAATTCAGACATTTTTCGACCATCCTTAAATAAAATAATGAATATTTACTAAGTTATTTTTTCCATGGAATTATCTTTGGATAAACGAATTTTTTAATTGTGTGCAAAAATTGTTTAATTTGCTTGAAAAGTTCTCGGGATATAGCGACATAGGCAAAAAATAAAACTAATATTAAGGGGTCTTATAATAATAAACTAATAATAAACTTTAGAGTCATACTATTGGGATCATATTTCCCAGATTACGGCTATCTCCTATATTTTTAGGGTCGGAAATATTAATTCGTTTAAAAAAAGGTATGTTAATTCAGAGAAAGTAAGTTTTAGTGCCTGTTTTCGAACTTAAAATACCGTTTGCACTTATTAATTAACATATTTTAAACCACCCTGCTTTTTTTTCCCTTTTTTTGCGCACTGTATACAAAATAAAAACATTCTCCCATTATCTTTGAAAAATATTGAAACAATTGTAGTGATATTAGATTTTTAAATTAGTAAAAACCGTAAATTTCCTTAAAAATAATAAACAAATTAAAAAGCAATTAAGAATACTAAAAAAATTTGAAAAAACTTTTTTGAAATGCTTATCTGAAAAGCTTTTACTAATGATATAGATCATGATCTATTAATGACTCATCCTCACATTATAATTCGCTAAAGGTATTATGCTATATGAAGGTAAAGATTTATTCTGTTTGAACTTAAGGTAGAACATAAGTAAACTCTTAAGTAATAAGTATAAAAATATCAATTTGTTGTAAAATTATTTTTATAATGAATAAAAAGCAAAGAAATTTTAAGAAAATAGTTTGTATTTTGAAAATAAAAAATAACCTCAAATTCTTAGTGTTAAAATTTTTCTGTGTAAAGTGAAGAAAATTAAGATTGCTGTTTTTTCATTTATTAAGCTAAAACTTATTTAATAAAACGTTCACTACAGAGACAAAACAAAATAGTAATTTTAACGCCTTATTTCATCTTCTAGAAATTCCTTACTTTGCATTAGATTATAAATAAATGAAAGAATTCTATATAGATACTTTAACAAGAAACGTACTTTTAAGCATGCTAAGCGAAACTAATATTTTAATAAAAAAAATGTTACAGTGTTGTAAAAAAGTCTATTTTTTATTATAGCTTTTGATTGTTTATACATTTTATTTTTAAAATCTTTTGAAAGTATTTTGAAGTATGATTTGAGATAATTTTAATTTTTTATTGTAATTAAATTTAAGCAACTGAGTGTATTTATACATGAAATGTGGAAATACAAGTAGTTTTATTTAGATTTATGAAAAAAAAGAGTGAGAAATTATAATTTTTGATTGTTCTGCTTTTAAAATCCTCTTAAGTTTGTGACTGTCAAATGAAATGCTCATAACTTTTCTTATTAATAAGGAGAATCCCATCGATTAAATAATTTCACAGGTTGCATTACCATAGCAATTTTTCTAATGCACAGAGTTTGCTTGTTATTGCTGAAGAAAATGCTCTCAATGAAACGTGAATTGATTTTTTAATTGAAACGTGAATTGATTTATTAAAAATAGAAAGATCAAAAAACATCCTTATTTGAGAATCATATTACAGTAGCTATCGTGATTTTCATTTGATATTGTATTTGTGTTTCATTGCTCATTAAACTACCAAAAAACACGCCGATTCATTAAAAATAAAATTCTGTGAAATGATAGAGCTCAAAAACAACGTATTACTAAATTGAAGTTCATTGTATTGCCTTAAAACCATAGGTTTTGTCTACAGTTAGTAGAATAAACTCTTTCCGAATGAATTTTATAATTTTAATCATCCTTAAACAATGAGGTCAACAATAGTTAGGTTGACTAACAATAACAATGATCATTGAATACAACAATGATCATTTCAATGAACATATCAATAATAATAATTTTAATTTGTTTGAATGCATTGTTATTTTTGATTGAATGATGATCTTAATTTGATTAGTTAATAAATTACTGTGTCTCATGATGTATTCTGATATAAAACTGCTCTCTTTACATTTCTTTAAGCTAGATTTTCACTGAAATTTCTTTTGAGAAATCCTCTCACCATTCCACTGGACTATGTTTAACTATTTCCTGTAGGGGTCAATATTTAAGAGAGGTTTGGAGAGTTAGGGAAAAGCTCCCCTTTATGAAATGTGCTTTTTTTAAAGCACCAGATTCCACCAAATTCCGATTAAAGATAATCTATTCAGCGATATATCGGTTCCACTAACGCCGATTAGGCTAATCAGACCTCTAATCCACGATATTTCGGTTGCACCAACACCGATTATATTTGACCGGTGAATATTTCCTCCGTTAAGAATTGAAACAGAAACTGATTTTCAAACAGAAACTGATTTTCAAACAGAAACTGATTTTCAAACAGAAACTGATTTTATCCACTTATAATTTAGATAAATTTTTCTTGTCTTTAAAAGGAAACACGTGACATATTATTTTCGCTAAATGTAAAAATATTTTAATCGAAGAAGATGCGTTTTGCAACTGTTTGTTTATTGCGATATTGCTTTCCTGTCATGGAAGCATTTGCATGTAACATAAGTTTGTATTGTCAGCATTTGTTGTTATATTATCATATCTAGTTGTTGTT